ATGCCACTCGGGGCTCGCTGCTGGCCAAGCACTGCCCCAGCCTCCGCCTGGGCTGCCGGCAGGAATGGGGCGGGACGCCAGCCCACCCTGTGCCCGTGCCAGCACCCGGAGCCAGGAGCCAACAGCCCCGGCCGCTGTTCCTGCCCGGCCCGGGCAGGATGCCCACGGGACAGCCCGCGGCTCCCGGGAGCTGCGGGAACCCCGGAACCACGGTGGGGACCCCGGCAGATGAATCTTGGCCCCCTCACCCAAAGGGTGTTGGGCTTCAGGGGGGGCTGTGAGAGGAGCCGGGGCCTCACCCACCCCGCTGTGCAGCCGGGCGTGGGGACGGCGCGGGAAGAGCCGCACAAATGAGCCTCCGGCCGAAGAATGGGCTCCTTTATGCCGGGCAAAGGGCTGAGTCACCCCAGCCGAGGGGACGAGGGGACCCGGGTGGCCACGGCATCCCTGGGGATCGCCGGCCTCGCACCCACGGGTGTGTTCAGCACCGCTCCCGCCTGGCTGGCCCCGCCGCTTGCCCACGCACCGGATTTAGCCGGTCCCGTCCCCGTGCCAGCGCCCGGGGATGCTCAGAGCCAGGGACCGATAAGGAGCCAACACTTATCTGCCTTCCCTCCGTGCAAAGCCCCCGGCCCCCTCCCCTGCCCGGAGGCGACAGTTTCCTTTTAAGGTTAAACTCCAAGGGATCCAAACACCGAAATAAAAAATATCCCCCTCCGATGAGTTTAATCAGGCGCCGAGCCTGCGTTCAATCAGCCCCCGGGCCGACACACCCTCCGGGCGTCTGGGCAGCATCAGCCCGGCAGCAGCTCCAGCAGCCGCCGCCCCCGAGGCCTCCGCCTTGCCCAGTGCCCGCCCGGGGGTTCCGCCAAAAGCCGGGGGTCCCTGGGCCGGGAGGAGAGTGGAGGATGCTGTGCAGGAGATGGAGATGGCGCGGGCGAGGCTTCGCCAGGCGGGGGGTGACATTCCTCCCGAAATTAATCCACATTCCAGCCGGTGCTGACAGAGTGATGAGGGGGGACAGATGGTGGGGGGAGGGGGAGCCCCTTCCTCCCCGCGAGGAGAAGAAGGAGGGGGAGGAGGAGAAGAAGGAGAGGGAGGAGAATGGGGTGAAGCGCCGAGGTCTAGGAGTCACCCTAGGGGTGGGGGTGGCCCCTGGATCCTTTGGAGCCTCCCGGGGCTGGAGCCTGGAGGGCAAAACCCCAGCGAGGTTCATCCACACCTGGCAAGTGCCCGAGGGAGTGAGCAGGGATGGGAAGAGTGTCCCTGGTGGGACCGAGTGTGACCTTGATGGGACCAAGTGTGTCCCCGACAGGACTGTGTGTCCTTGGTGGGATCACCTGTGTCCCAACGGGACCTAGTGTGTCCCTGATGGGACTGTGTCCCCAGTGGGATCAAGTGTGTCCCCAGTAGGATCAAGTGTGTCCCCAATGGTACCGAGTGTGTCCCAGACAGGAACAAATGGGACTGACCATGTCCTCAGTGGGATCGAGTGTGTCCCCTGTGGGACCAGGAGCACCCCTAAGCACCGAGTGTGACCCCAGTGGGACCAGGAGCACCCCTAAGCACCAAGTGTGACCCCAATGGGACCAAGTGTGACCCTGGTTGGACCAAACATGATGCCAGGGGGACCCGAGTGTGCCCGGGTTCCCCCACTGTGGCTGCAGCTTGGGCACCCCCCCAGGCACACCCACACCTTCCCTGGGAGACCAAACTGCCACATGAGCAGCACCCACCGTCCCATCCCCCGAGGGCACACAGTGTGATTTTGGGGGCTGGAAAGAGAAATGGAGGTGCCAACCCCACCTTGAGCCCTGCTCCACGCCCAGGCAGGAGCACCATGGGGGGTGCAGGGGGTCTTGGGGGCTGCAGCTATGGGGGAGCTGCCAGGGACTGGCCAGGCTGGAGCTTTAAGAGCCCCTGGAG